TAACTCTAATCTCAGTAATGATAAGTTAGGAGCCTGACTAAAGTGAGCCATTTTTCCTCCCATAAAACTAGTGATCTTCCCAAGACTAAAAGTGAATGATCGACTTTCCCGCGTGAAAAGATCAGGAAAGTTGTTTAGGGGAGAGTTAGTAATGCAAAAAAGAGGAAGGAACAAGGAAGGTGTGTAAAATGCAATTGGGAAAAAGGAGTGTGCGTCAAAACTGAACGAAAACTGCTAAAATCGCGAAAGTAATTTAAAAATTTTCTATTCCTATAAACCCAATATACTACAAGTATATTGTGGTACCTACAATAGCAGGCGAGAAGTCATGATTAAACTAATTTCATTTGGAGAGCTTCTACTATGTCATTCACAATGCCTACCCTATTCGTCATAATTTGGCAGTACTGTCTATGCACGTTTTACTGGGAAATTTTGCATTTGAAGAATTTTCATTGCCTTACCATTTATTGCAGTGCAACCATTATTTACTTTCTGTAATGGAGATATGGCGTCTAATGTTATTTATATCAAATAGCAGGCGGTTCGATAATTATCATTAGCCCTATAGTTGACTTCAGGCTTCACAGAGAGGAGGAACGTCAAAGTGATAAAAAGTCGAGAGGGGGGACAGAATAATAATTCACAGATGTAAAGGAGATAGACAGACAGACAAAAAAGCAGAGAAAAGGTATGGTGAATACTGTGAAAGGGGTCGAATATGGCATACAGTGGGGTAATGGTAGTTAGAAGCCAGAAGTCAACTGCCAGCTAATAGACTTTTTTGCCGTATGCGTATACGTTGCCCAGGGTGCACCACGTGGAGGTAAGTCTATCGCACACCCCATTCATTAAATATATCACGGAGGTAAGTCTATCGCACACCCCATGGCGTCTAATGTAGATACATAGTAAAGCACAAAGGTAGGGGAATATGATGGGGACCAACCCGAGGCAGATTATGAAATTTCAATGTCAAGACAACTATTTCATTAGGTTTCCGATTGTGTTTCCTTGTCTACTTTTTGCACATTTTTTGGAATCCCTTTAAGTAGAAGCTTTAATTAAAAGAATAAATCATGCCACCTATGAATCATTTCTACCCTCTTGCATTCATGAATAAGCCGATGAAACAAGGCAAAACATTTTAAACACAAAATTCACTGAATTTCATTCTGAGTTTAAAAGAGAAAAGTAAATTTCATATTGAGATATACAAAACTGAACAAAGTTGAAAATGTTATTGGAATCCAAAATTTTGATTTCAAGATCTGTGACTCTTCATTAATTGTTATCCATATATTATTAATTGAGTACTAAACTATGCTATTGTGCCTATTCATCTAAACCGTCTTGATAAATATCGCAATTTTCTAAACATTCTTTCGAGCACAAAATATATGGGCAGGGGGGGGGGTTTAAAGCAGTGAAGCCTTACTGCAAATAGTCTGATGCACGCATATTAAAATCCTATACTAGAACGAATTCGACATCGGGAATTCGTAACTACAGGTTTAACCTTCACTATCTATTATTCATTATTATTATCACTCATTATCTATTAACTTTATTGCCCTTTGTTACAATCTAGTGGAACTATTATCATCGAGAGGTAATTTTCTGATTCCAAGTGTCTCGATTTTAGTGGTTCTTAACTCAGTAATCAGCTCTCTTTAAGATATATTCATGAAATGGGAGCAGCAATTTCTATGTGAAAGAAGCGTTGAATTAAATGACAGTAAAAACGAGTCTTGTTGAATAATAAGGAAGAAAAGCCTATAGAGTGTGGCCATGATAAATGGGATTTTTGCATTTACTAGCTTTAAGTAAAAATTTCTTTAATCAGTTTGTCTTGTGTTTCTCACAAGGACCTCTGTTACCTTAACTATCGGTATAGTCTTTAGCCCAAAGGAGCAAATTCTTCTTTGGGTATTATTTTAAATAGGTTCCTCGGAGTTAAAATTAGTATTAGTAAATTAAATTAGTAAAAAATATTTTCACTTATTTGTCTACAGCGCATTATTTCTCTCTGTGTTAATTTTGTGTAATTCGATTCGTTTATCATATTGGAATTCCTGTGTGCCAATTACTAATAATGGGAGGGGGGCGTATTTGCTTATCATTTTAACTAATGCTCAACTAAACTGATCCTAACTCAACGCATTTGCTGAAACAGCTACCCATTTGTACCTATATGGTCTTTAATCTGCGGGATTTACATTATGAGACTTCGAAAATTTATGTGTGCGTCTGGAAATGAAATTTCGTCCTACGGCGCTGTTTCACATCCAGGTAATTTTATTTCAAAAAACTAATCTTAATTCGCTTTCTCTACTTATCAATTACAAATAGGGGGTTTTCCTTAACACCATCACAATGATATATGACTCTTTTAATCCCCCCCCCCTCTCTCTCTCTATATCTTGATCCGTGATGGTTGAAGATAAGAGATGTTTACATAATTGCGTTTGAACCAAGATTTCCTTCGTTTCACATTTAATAGTGATCATGTTCTGTTTTCTTGCCCTTCTATTCATTGGTTACTTATACTTTGAAAAGGCTTAAACTTACTAACTAACAACAAACTCGTCACATTTTCAGTCTTCATAGACCACTCGGTTTGGACCAGATTTGCCATCTTTTATACAGTTGAAGGTTCCATTATACACGCATCCCAATTCGGCTTCCCCTTGAAGTTATCACAATAGGAAATCAGTTTTAAAGCCCAAACAATTCACTGAAATAAGAGCACCTGTTCGATTGCAAAAGAAAAAATCAGCATATGTTTCTTTGCATCTGCGTTGGAAGACAGACGGTAATTGTGGATTTTATTATACACCGCATAGAAAAGCACTCTGGGAATGAATAAGATATTCTTCGTACAAGTTTCCCTCTATACTTAAAAAGGCGCTATAAAGGTTTGAAGGTAAGGGGGAATATAGGAGGATATAGGGGAAATGGGAGCATCAGTCTTCGGGGGGGGGGGGGGTAACTTGTCTGCAGACTGGTTGTGTTATCTGCGCATTTTTCTCCACTAGTAACAGGCACTATAGACGCGATATTCATATCATACATAGTTGCGCTTCAAGCCAGTATTGTTTTGAAGGTTACTGAGCTTGCAGAAGTCTGCTGTAGAATAGAAGGAATTGTCGTCCCCAGGCATTTGGTCTAGGTGTTGTTCATTTGGGCTTGCAGTGAATTCAGAGGCGAAGGGTACCCTATTGGGTTGCTGGTTAATACTGCTTCCCAAGCTTTCCCGATCCGCGTTACTTGCTCGTCTATTTCTTAATGCTGCATGGATGTATCGAATCTCTTCCAGTTCCATCTCACTTGGTTCCTCCCAATCAGGCCGTATAAGACTTCCAGATGTGTGGATTTCTGACGAAGGTATCAAATTCAATAAACCATCTGTCGCTAGTGGATGAAGCATACTTGCTCGACGGTCTGCAATGGGGTCTGAATGCATGCCTATACTCTGCCTATGATCCGCTGTTTCACTGACCGACATTCGCTCAAGAGTAGTTGTTCGAGTATTCTCACCAAGATTATTCACATCGGCACCAACTGATCTGCTCGCCGATCCCATTAAGAGACTCTTTGTCAAATTTTCTGAAGTATCACTCTCTGGGACGAATTTCCTTTTATTCGGAGAAAGTACTGGCTTTGGTTTCCGTCGACCTTCCTCTCTCTTGGCTGCATTGGCATTAGTTACCCTATTACTAACTGGATACTGTTTATCTCCGCGGAACTGTCTGTATTTTCTCTGCAGCATTGGAATACCCGTTTTCTCTGCAAATCCTCCAAGACCTTTCATGATATTATTACCGCTCACTGAGTTGATATCTCTTCTCAGCTCTTTCAGATACTTATCTTCCTTCAGCTGATTCTTCATATACATGTAGTATGTATTGAAGTTGTTGCCGATGATAGGAATTGCTAACCCTGTAACTATGCAACCGCAAATAGCTGCCATGGAGCCCACAATGTACCCTGCGGTGCCCTTTGGATAAGTATCACCATATCCAACTGTTGTGAGGGTAATAATCGACCACCAAAAGGCCTCTGGAATGTTCGCGAATGTATCATTTACACTGTACTCAGCCATGTAAATCATGCAAGAGAAAAAGAACATTCCATTCATCAGAAGAAAGGCCAATAGCATCAATTCAGGGATGGACTTCTTTACAGTCAGCATTAGCACTCGAAGACCTCGAGAAATCTTTGACACCTTAAAAATTCTCAATATTCGCATTATCTGAGTCATTGAGAGTATATTCAGGAGCCAGAGATTGTTAGGAGGTCTGTCAACAATTTTGGACGGGTCAAGAGTGTCAAAAATCTGCTTTTTGTGATAGTAAGTAAAATAGAATACACTTATATATATCCAATAGGTGAAAAGATTCACCATATCAATGATCGAGACAACGGAGGTAAGAAATTTGTGTTTGTCAGGTGCAAGAAGAACCTTGAGCAGGAATTCTCCAGTGAGCACTACATTCAACACCATATCCAATATCACTAAACCTTTCACGGGTTCTGTAAAGCAATCCTTCCGCACTTTTAAGTTATCAGCCCGAGTACCCTCACAGATATCCAGGGGAGAATCGAATAGATTTGAAATGTTGGCAAATTCTGCTGTGGCGAAATTCTCACTGGCCGATGTTCGGAATGTCCATGAGGTTGAGAAGCAAAGGCAAAGAATTGAGGCTATCATTAGAATCAGTAGGAAGGAAGCCCATATCTGCAATGCACGAAAAATAAGACTTTTATTTAGGCATTAAAACTAGCCAAGTTTGTAGAGTGTACCCTTTAATTAAGCAGATAATCCAATACACATAATCTAAATCTAGTGATATGAGTTTAAGCAAGGCAACACATTTGCGAGTGATTAAGTGCTATGCAAGCTTGAAGTAATTAATGAATGCTTTAGATTTAGCTGTTAACCAAATTTGATTTTGGCAGACCGGATGATGCGCAAAGTCTATTTATTCATCACGCAGTGATTGGTACATGTGTTGCCAACAGTTATGCGAAATTCTTTCTCACAACCATTCTCACTCCTCCACTTCCTTCATTAGTCAACCTCCATCGACTTGATCACCTTAACTCGTAGTCAAGAGAGGTCATCAGAAAGTAGACTGGATAGCGTGCGTATTTGAGAGGACAGTTTTCTCACAAAGAAATGATATGCACTTAATTGCAGATCATTACCACACTCTCTAATAAATGATTTGCGATGTAAATGATATAAATAGCATACTATATATATATATATATATATATATATTTATTTATTTATTTATTTGTTTAATCTTAAGTCTTTCGCTTTAATTAGTGCATTCATATTTAGGAGGTAAAGAATCTCAGGTAGTAGGTTTATCTCGATATGATTTTATATTATGGGCTTAATGGCCTAGGATCGAGTACATTCGATTTGCCATGTATATTATTCCATCATTGCTTCCATTTGATGGCTGAAGTTAGTTGACGCACTCTTGCCAACCCCCAAAAGTTAATAATAAATTAGGAGAAAAAGTAGGGAAGACAACTTCAGCTGTGAGAAGTTCGAGAAATATCTGGTTTTACAATTGGAGGCAATCACGTTGTGCATGTCCTTTTAACTGTCATGGGAATAGGATGCAGATTGGAAATCTCCTATTACCGCATAAGTCGTTGGACAAAATATTAAAGTTGCTGTCCCCAATGTGTGTCTGTGTGTGAAATATTTGCTTGCAAATAATGTTCACGTTCCTTCCATCAAATCTTCTAATCAAGATGGTATAATTATTCTAAAATGGCAGTATTCACACAGTGAACAAAAGGAAAGAAATTAATCATATCCTAATAATTATTATAAATTCTTTCTTTAACAGTCGTATTTAATACTCGTTGATAATAAATTATTGCATTAGCAATTAATTTCACACTTCTATCGATAGAAAATGTTAAATTTAAACCCGATTTTCAAATAATGTTGATAGAAATTTTAAATTCAGGCATTTTCGTTAATTTTGTTTAATTCAGCGGGAAAAAATTTAGGCGTTCCAGTTGAAGTTTGGAATTGGGCAATTTTAGCTCATTCGTTTATCATTAAATCATTTTGAAAATAATTTTTCCATCTTAAAAATGCCTACCAAATAGTAATCCAAAGCAATAGTTTCGAATTATTCAATAAAAAAACAATACAGTTTAATAATTAAGAAATCAAGTACTGTCAATGTTACTGAAGTTTTAAATATACTTCAAAATTCATTAGCATTAATCAACACTCTGCTGTTTTCTTTCAGGGCATTTAATTCAATATTAGAGATGTGTGAAATTGGTTCTTATAAACCTAACTAAAACTGCAAGTAACTTTTGAGAGACACTGATTTTTTCCAACAGGAAAGAATGTAAAAACAAGTGACTGATTTAAGCCAAAGGATATTTTTGTCTTGTGAAACAATGGTTATATTAAAAAACGTGAATAGCATTCGTTTCCAGTCAACCGGAAATAGGTATATAGTCAAATAAAGAAAAAACGCGTAAATTCCAGGACGATTTCATTTGATACAAATTTAAGGGTAGTTAGTGTCTACGCATTCAATTCTAAAATCTAAAATATAAATAAACCTCTGAATGTCAAAACGATTATTTGTAAATATTACCGAGGTGAATGCTGGAATGCTGGAAGTTATTCAGATTAATTGATTCAATGCATAAAAACTACTTCGGCTTTCAAAAGTTGGATTCAAGGCTTCAGTGTTTGTGGGTTATCGATTCATTCCCACCCCTCCCCACCTCCACAAATACTTGCTCTTGCCAAATTAGTCAAAAGGTATCTACGCTAACTTATAATTTTCAGGAAATATGACAATTATGAACTAAATTTTACTAATATATTTGAACAATATAAATGGAACATTTCACCTATTGTCCATATTTTAATCAGTATGAAGCTCAAAAGGAAAATTACCTTCGGATCTATTTGGTGTAGTAGGGTCTTTCCGCAGAAATGGAAGTATTGCATTCTGGGAACAATTGACAAAGGCAATAAAGATCCAGAAATAAAGCATCCTGACATCACTATTCATTGTATAATCGTGAAGGTGGTCGCAATCACTGTGCTTGTCATAATAGAGACGAAACGATTGGAGAGGAGGTTTAGAACCATGTCACATTGTTGATATCTACCAATCTACTTCAGCTATTAATTATATTAGAAAATTCCTTATGAGAGTGAATGCAGTGTATCACAAGAAAATACCTTCATGTTCTTTGTTGAAAAAAATCATCTTCGAAAAATCTACTTTACACTACTTATTAGATTTTTGCGTCAAATTTTTCCACTTTGTTGAGATTTTAGCCGAAAGTTGTGTACTTGTTTATTAATGCAGAGAAACTATTGCTTATATTTAGAAATTAAAAATATTTATCAGTTTTGTCTCAAGTTCATTAAACCCAATTTAAAGAAATGGTAATTTGGGTTTGAAAAATTTAATTACAAAGAGTATGGTTTTACATTTGGTTAGAGCTGACGTAAAACTTAGGGCATTTCATCTGTTTATATCAGGATTGAGAGAAACAATATAAACGCATAAATTTCAAATTGCCAAATTCTTGACCGAGTACTACAATTTATAAACAGAATCTTCTGTTCTTATACAGAAAGCCATAGAACTGAAGAAAGCATTACAAATCGATGACAAACCAAACGTCTCTCTACCCATGAACCCATTAGCAGACACTGATGGAGTCCTCCATCTACCTATGAACCCATTAGCAGACACTGATGTAGTGTGTTGCACCCCATGAACCTATTGACAGACACTGATGCAGTGTGTTGCACCCAACTGCTTGACCTTAGCAGACATTGATGTAGTGTGTCGCACCCAACTGCGTCTTCAGGAAATCAAACACTCCTCCAGAGCAAATGCGCTCCCCCTACCCCTCCAGAACAAATGCACTCACTAGCCCTTAAGACAATCAATGTCAACTATCCTGCAGATCGATGGCTCCA